GGCTCTACTTAATTTTAACAGAGATGCGAACCCGGCAAAATTTTTGCCCGGATTCAGATCGGGTTCAGTTCGATCCGGGTTCAGTTCAGGTATGAATCCTGGTTCAGCTCGGGTTTAATAACTTTAGAATTGGCAAAAAAATTCTTTATTTAAATCTTATGTAAAAAAAACTAGGTATAAATTTGGTATAAAAAATAAGTTTTTATTCTATTTATAGGCAAAATATAGTTAAAAATTCAAAGCATAGTCATGTATCAATTTCAAAAATTTTATTTAGACGTATTAGTATAATATCTTCCAAGAGTTTTTCACTCATCTATGTGGTTGAAAGAATGAATTTCTAACGTGAAAAAGTTATTTCAACGCTAGCCTATATTAAATACATTTTTGTGAAAATATGATAAATTTAACTTTGGTTGTGGGAACAGCGAATAAGATTTTGGATAAATTATAAGAATTTAGGTATTCGAGCTTAGCAGACTTTCCAAATTATGCAATATATTTTCCTTCTTATCTATTTTTTTATTAATTGCTAAATCATATATTTTAATTTTATCATTTTTTGAAGCGCGTTTTTTTTTAAATTTAAAAATCTGATTTTACCGAAAATGTATTCCATCATGTTTTGGAATATCTACCCAGTAAATTTCAGACAATTTTTTTTTCAATAAACCTTAAACTTAATATAATTTATATTCGATTTTCCACATATTTTTTTTTTATATAAATAATAAAATGACTCAAAAGGTTAAACAGTAAAATTGTCTTACAATTCATAAGATAGGTTATATTCCAAACATGTTAGAATATATTTCTGGTAAAATACGATTTTTTTAATATTTATTTTAAACGAGCTCGAAAAAACGATTTTAAAGTTGTAAAAATAACGCATTGTCGGAAAAAAAAACACATTTGACGCTAATATCGTCGGCCTAGAATTGGAGTGCTCCACTTGCGCAAATGTTTAAAATGAGAAAATCAACATTAAAGTTTAAAATCAAATATAAGAAAACCTTATTGATCAATTTTGATAGAGCTATAACTTTGGGCAAAAATTAATATTTTTTAAATCTAGTTTTTATTTATATATATATTGGGACTAAATAAGTTATTATCCACTTCTAACTCAAAAATTTTGAAAATATCGAGTGGAGCACTCCAATTATAAAGAAAGAAAAAAGACGAAAGAGATTTTTATTTTAACTATTTTTTAGTTGAGAGTTGAACAATAAAACATAATGGAATATTATTTAATTTAAAAAAAATATATAAATATATATATAGCGAAATCTGACATAACCTATAGACCATTTTTATAATTATAAAAAAGGGAACTTACAATTTTTTTTTTAGAAACTGACCGATACCCTCACGGTTCAGTACCAAAATAAGAAAACTGCGCTATTTAGGGCCACCACTTCTAATAATAATATATTTTCATTAACAAATATATATTTTAAGAAAAAAAACGTAAATTTTTCACTGTTACTATCTTCATACAAAATTAATCTAGAGAACTGCAACTTGGCCTATTAAGAATTTTTGCACAAGTCAAACCTCGTGTTAAATTTATTTTTATATTTTGCTTAGTCCATTAAATTTTATGAAAAATCTTCCCTGGCTTGTAAATTTTTTTTGTATAATTTTCTACATTATATTTTTAATTTATATATCTAATCCCCCCCCCCCCCCAATGTCATTTTAGATTCTTATATTACTCACAAAATCCTATAAATCAATTGTGATATCTATATTATGTATTTGTAATTCAATCATATTATAAATAACTTGTTTAATTTTTTTTGTGAATTCTGTATTATTTAATTTATAGATTTTAAGTATTTTAATTAGACAACTCTTAAAATCAGGGTTTAACAAAAATCTTTAAATAAGCATTTGAATTGCCTAAAATTTTGGAAAAATCTTCCCATTTTTGATCTTCAAAAGAACAAGGATCGTTGAATTTTGAGCAAATTTTAAACAAATACAGAAAAATATAGTAATTTATTTTCAAATAGAATTAATTCCCAGCTAAAAATTAGAGATTATGCCACCTAAATTTTTTATGTATCAAATTGATTGCCTAGCCTGTTAAATTGCATAGGTTAGCATGATCTTTAATAGTTAAACCAATGTCATAAAGACTAATTTTATATCAAAAGAATTCCTAACTGTAAACTATGGTGAAAACATGAAACACTCAAGTTTGCCATTTCTCATAGTCAATTTGCCTTATTTTATCACACACCATTATGTTAATTTTATATTTATTTCCCAATCATCTCATTGTCTATTTAAAATATGGGTAATGTTGACTTTATGACTTGTTAAATATCTTCAGATCCTTTTCTTATTCCAAAAACAAATTTTTTTTAGCAATTTTGATCTTTTGTTCAATTTTTTTTTATTAGGATATTATGAATAACATTTTTTAAAAAAATATTTTTTGAATAATTAAATTTTTTAAAAAAATAGTAAATATTAACCATTATCAGAATTTTAATTATAGAATTATGTTTTTAATTACGCTATTAATTTTTTAAAAAATATTTTTGTCTCTTAGACACTTTTAAAATTATCACTAATGAGGTTTCACAGTATTAAAATTTTATAAATATTTTGAGAATTGACATTTAAAAATTATTCAATATTTTTGAAATTAAAATTATGGTTATATTATTATTACCGTATCGAATTTCAACATTCTTTGTTTTATTAAACAATTTGATTAATAAAATATATTTATATATTTCTTTGAAATAAATTTAATAAAATTATAAACACTTAAATAAGACCAAATTTAGGTTAAAAATTTAATTATAGAATTAAAAGGTTTGAATTGTCAATCAAGTTTAGCAGGGAAACAATCAGTTTCACGTAAATTATCATATTTCTCAATCTAAATCAAATACTATATGATATATATAAAAAATTAATATATACCCATGTACTCGGGCATAATTTGACATATATGAATTTAAAATATTGGCAAAGATCAAAATCTTCTCCCTTTTTGTTTATACATCGATAATAATCTACATAATTTTGCCAGCAATTCCTGAAAATATGGTTTATAAATTTAATAATTTCTATTTTACAAGGTTTGATTTTGATTTGGAAATCTAGCATCATAAGGAGCTGTTTTTATACCTAATTTCGCTAATGTCTGATCTTTATTTTCATAATCTCTTTTTTGTGCTTCAGCTAATGTCATGTTCAATAAAAAACGAGATATAAATGAAGTGTATGTGTGGTAAAAAGAATGATAATCTACAAAAGCATCTGTTAGATCTTTTAAGTAAATGACAAAAGGTACAAGTTAATTTCTTAATTATAGGTCTATCTTTAAAATATTCTGATAATCACATAATTTAAAATTTTTAAATAAACTTAAAAATGTATTAACTTGTTTTTAAAGTTAAATTTATCCAATTGTCTGTTTAACTTAAATTTATATATATATAGGCTAATTTATTTTTTATATGACCTTTGTTTTAAATTCTTTTTTGAATAATAAACTCAATGAATAATAAAAATCTGTATCCAAAAAAAATTAGCGTTGTTAGTCAAGTGGGAAAGGCCTGCAGCGTCTACATGAGGATTTTCATTGGATGCAAACCCCTTTCAAAAACCTATGTCTACCCCCCATAAAAAACATTTGCCATCTTCGGCGGCGGTGTTCCCCTATTAATGATACTCCTTTCAGAAAATTTAAAAAGAATAACTTAAATTATTTTATCTCTACTACCAATCGAAATTTTGTGAATATAAAAGAGTTATTTTCCATCATTTACAATGAATTCATTAATATAGCATTATGAACTTGCTCAAAATGTCTAAACCTTTTTAATTACAGTTTTATTTGGAAAATAATTTTATGATTGTTTGTAATATATAGATTTGGTTGATGAATTGTTGTATATAAATAGGTCTATAATAAAAGTGTTAGATTTTACAGAAATAAATTTTGTCTTATTTCATCTCAAAATTTATTAGATAACCACATAAAGTTCCTACCCCCATTAAAGCCGTCTGGTAAAGTCAGTAAGTATTGCGTTATGAGTCATTTTTATTTTTATAATTTTATGTTTTAGTTAAATTGGTGAGTCATTGTTATTTTTATAATTTTATGTTTTAGTTTAGAGTTAACATTTTATTTTTAGATTTATAAAAGTTAATTATTGTAAAGTCATTAAGATGGGATAATTTATAATTTCTAAAAATGTATTTTTATCTTATAATTTTAGAGTCATGATTAGGTGCTTTATAAATGTAAAAGAAGATATTTTTAGATTGTTAAATTTTAATTATTTATTTGTGATTATTGCTTCCCTATAAAAGGGAAGCGAAATTGTAAATTATCAATTCATTTTTTTTGAATTCATTTTTACACAGTTAATTTTTTTCCGTTTTAAATAATTATAATATTTTTTATTGGCTAAATAAGGAAAATTTGTAGTGGTGTTTTTTATTTGTTAAATAAAGAAAATTCGTAGTAAATTAGAAGTTGCAAGTGGCCAACGTGATACCTACCCCCTCCGCTCATGTAGACGCTGAAGACCTGATATATTTACAGGATATAATCAATAAAAATCTACCTCTATTTACTAAATCATTTGCTAGATTTTTACAATAATTAATTCAAATGAGTTGATAGTTTGGTTTAAGCCGGTAGTTTCTATAGATAGACGCAGAATTACCAAAATCTTCAAAGTAAATAAGTAATTTACGTCCCTAACAAAATATCAATTCATTAAAAGGGAAATTATAAAAAAATGAATTTTCAATTTATTGTGGATATACCTATAAGAGAGTTTTTAATACCGCTGTAAAATTCCTAACAGAATAAATCTGGTAAAATAATCATTATCTCTCTATATATTATCGTCATTGCTCTTATTTAACTTATATCTTTTTTTCTATTGTGGATATTTACCGATTATTGGGATGTTTAGCCTTGAACTTTTCGCTATTTTAATTCCACAATAAATTTTAGTCAAAGCACAGAAACATATGGCAAGTGAAAGTGTAGAAAAACGTTTAAATAGCACTTTAAGTTATTTATACTCAATCTAGTTTATATATAGTAAAATTTTATTATAGATGAAGCAACTGATTTGACAAATAAAGCTATTAATATCGAGGCCGTAAATAATTTTTGTGATTTAGTCAATTCTTATCAAGATGGTTGCAGATTTGCTGCAATCTTATTGTCAAAAAAGTTGAATTCTGATAAAGAATGGGAGATATTACAAACCATAAGCGTAAATCAATGAAATTCCTTTAGAATTTTATTTTTTTTATTCCAAAGGTGCTAAAAATGGCTGCAGAGAAATGTGGTTCATCATTCCATAAAGAAATTGGGATGTTTAGATTTTTAAATAATTTAATAAAGCTGATTTTTCCAAAAGTATAATTTTTTATTTATAAAATTATTGTTTGGTTTGTTAAATAATTATTCAAGTATTTAGGAAACTTAACCAGTGAAAAAGTTAAAACTGAAATATGTAAATTATTATATAGCTGGACTACGAGTATCAATGAACCAAAAATTATAGAAGCTTTTGACATGCTTAAGCAACAAAATTTAATTCCTTTCGTCATATCAGTAATCATTAATTTATAGCTAATAAAAAAAAATCAAATTGTTAAACACATATAATTTGTTTATTATTTTATTTTAAAATATATTTTAGAGTGATTTGCAAAACATTCCAGCATCTAAACCAGAAATACCTACTGTAAGCTCACCAAATTCCAGAATGCATAATTGTTTAGATATAGATGATAAGACATCCAAGGTTATCCACTACCATATTTTGAAATTAATAAACATCTCAATAAATATCAAATATATAATCTATTTATTTTTAGTGTTGTTATTGCCAAAAAATTAAAAAATATAATGTGAAATATAAAATATTATAGATATTAAAATTTTTTATAAAGCAAAATAAAAGTCAATTATAAAATAATGAGCAATATACAATCCTTTATACCATTCAGAGGTATACCCTCAAGGTACTTGAACTACCTCCTTCCTTCCAGAAAGAATCTTATCTTAATCCTTAAAATACATTAGCTTACCCCCATCCCTCCCTGAGCTACTAAGGTAGTAGAGGTGCCTCGTGCCTGTTATTGGATATCTTAAGAAATCAAATCAAATGACATTGATTTGTTTTTATAATCTTATAGATTCTTAGAAGCATGATAAAAAAAACAATTTTTATTTATGTAATGTAACATTGAGAATATTTTAGAAATATATAAATATAGATGTCAGAATTCTGATTTACTTTTCCTTAATCAATGATTTATTAATATTAGGATGATTTTATTTTAATACTATTTTGGAATGTCAGATATAAAGCAAGTAGTCATGTGATTTTATCTTAATAAAGCTTATTTTCAATCTTTAATTTAAGTCCCAACCATCAAGAGGGATTACTTGATAAAATAATTTATAGGATAAACTGACCCAGGGAATCATAAACTTTCTTCATAAATACTTTTTTAAGGCAGCAATCAATGAAAGTTTAGTTATATGTTATAGTTACAAGTGGTCTGCATTTGAGCCTGCTGGCTAAAACAATAAGTGGGCTGGGACAGGAAAAATGTTTTTATAATATTTATAATTAACCACTCCCCAAGATTAGAGTTTTTTAGGCCTTGTATTTAAAAAAAAATATCGAGCTGGGCAACCTTAATGAAAATTTTAAACCAAGTCACCCACAGGCTAGGCAAAACTAAATTCCCATCGGGTCAGGCCTGAGAATTTATCAATTTGTGGACCAATGATATTTTCTAGCTCAAATTACAAAAAAAATACTAGAATATTCGAAATCGGTCAAAATAAATCCATCTTTTCAGGGCTAAGAACACTAATTTAATTGATTTCCTTTGTAACCATGTATTTTAATTGTTTTATTCCTTCAATGGCTAAAGAATGATTTGTTTATTTAACTATATGAATGATTTAGTGCATAACCCCTCATTTGACAATTAGCGTGAATTCATGGCGGTGAATATACAAAAATTACGGCATATTTTATATACCTCACCGTGAATTTGTGACTGCGAATTTGGGTAACTCGGAGTCGGCTCAGAATAGATAAAATCCGGTACAAACCGTAAATAACCGGATTTCGAAAATCGAGATCGAACTGAATCATTTATTTTAATGTGGGCCCAGGTTAGACCTATAAATGTTCCGAATATTTTCAGTTCTTATATATTTCAAAATGCGGTTTAGTTACCTAAATCTATATTAGAGAGCATTTTTGGTTCTTAGTTTTGAACCGATTCCGAGGGTTCTGATTGGTTCTAAACTTTTCTTGTATTTTATTACCTCTACTACAGGTCTTTGATATAAGGTAATCGCGTTCTCCATTAAAAAAACTTTCAATAATAGTTTTCGGATATATATATAATTTTAAATAAAATTTTCTACGAAATCATCATTTAATATTACTTCCCCTATTCACCCCCCCCCCCCCCCACACTCCTAATCCATATTTTCTCCCAAACAAACAAAAACGCAAGAAATTGAACAGACTGTTGAAGAGTACTTGTCCCGACGATATAAAGCTGGCAAATCAATTAATCAAAACGTTAGTCAAAGAGGTTTTATTTTATTTATTTAAAAATCACGTGTCTTTTTTCACTTTTCCACCAATCATCCTAATACAATCGTATCATCCCAATTCTTTCGCTCATTTAGATCCGGCGAATACATTATTTGGTCGATATTCACAATCGATTCGATCATTTAACTCGAATCCGAATTATTATTAATAAATAAATGCATTTGTTGAAATATTTTTTTCCTATCATTTTTCCATATCCTGTACATATTTTTTTTAGTTTAAAATTTAAATAATCAATAAAACCAAGAATTTTTTTTAAAATTATTAGATGGAATACTCACTTTGTGTATTTCAACAAACACAAATATCATTCGATTCATACGAATAATACGATTATTCGAATCGAATACCGTTATAATGCATTTATTTGATTCGTGTTTTCGAAGGCTTCCGATTGGTCCCTAAAAATATTTAAAATGATTGGCCCAAAATTATTAGTGAGATATATTATACGGCTGGCGTCAGTATTAAGTTTTAATCATTTTTTTTTTGAAAAAATTTTTCCGGAAATGTATTCCATGATGTTTGGAATACCTAACCCACGAATTTCAGACGAATTTTCTACGAACTTTCGAACTTGTCTACAATTTATAAAGTAGGTATTCTAAACATGTTGGAATATATTTCCGATAAAATCAGATATTTCTATTTTTAATAATCTTGTAGTTTGATTAGGATTTGTGGGTGCGTTGGATGAGGATAGTTTTAAATTTTATTCGATCCTGCTATTTTAAAGCCTCACTCAATCATCCCACGTCAATTAAATATTTTAAAAATATTGAACCACGGTTTTGGTTAGCGCATGTCCATTAAACCCCCTTTTTTGGATCGGGTTTAAGGAAACGCAATTTCCGGAAGTTCTGCTTAAAAAAACAAAGTAGCCCATAAATTATTGTTTTTTAGTTTCCACCCCCCCCCCCACCCCGTCAATCAATTTTCGAAAATATCGAACGAAATCGTTTTTGTAAAATTGGGATGAGATTGCTTCTATCGTTTGGTTAAATAATCATTAAGTTAGAAAAAGGCGGTGAGGAGGGAGGGGGGTTGTCTCCATCTTTATTGTGCTGGCGTGAGAAATTTTATACGATATTTTTGTGGTAAGGCGATAAAATCATTACTTGAAGCGCGTTATCTTAATTTTAAGAATCTGATTTTTAGTCCGGATTCCGATTAGGTCTATAATAACCACCCTATCAAATTTGGGGCAATTTTATGATAAACATTTGAAGAGATTTTCCATTCACATTAAAAAAAATAAAATATAAATTGGGGTTTCTTCAAAGGTTGGTCATAAAATTGGTAATTTATAGTGTTAATTAATGATTTAAAATGCAAAACCTACTGCTCCTATCGGGAAAATTAAACTATCACTTTACCCAAATATTTGGTATTTTATATTTCCAAATTGGGGGAAAAAAAAGTGTAAAATATATTTTCTTAAAAAATAAAAATATGCCATAGGATGAATTGAAGACATTAAAGAAAGTTGCCAGGAGTACCGAACTGGAGTTCATAAACAGCAACGTTAGATTACTCCAAGAAATGCTTACATCTTCCAACACTAACGAGATAACTGCTCAAGACAAAGAACTCATGCGAGTGAATAAATATTATTTTTATTGATTTTGGGATTAGGGGTAAAGAAAGAAAGGGAAATAAAATAAAAAATATATAACTATATTTTGATTTGTAGGAACTTTATACAACTTGCGTGAACAAAAAAGAAAAATTAGTGACCCTGGTGGACGAAGTTGATGATTCCGAAGATTCGTTGAGTAAGCTTTTATTTATTTATTTGAAAGTTTACACATTGTTCCTTTTTGGGAACACACAATTGTTAAATCCATAATTATTTTATATAACCTTTTAATTAAAGACAAATCATTTTATTTATTTTAAAATAGGGTATATACACTAAATAATTAAAAAATTGTATATTTAAAAAAAACAAATAAGCATATATTAAAAATAAAATTAAAAAATATATGCATAAAAAGGAACTGAGAAAAAAAAATATTTAAAAAAAATGGTACAAATCACCCTAGGGAAGAGTGAATGCTTAAAAAATTGGACCCTTCATCGGGATCCCCTGAGATCTGTCTCATTTTTTTCTGGTTTTAATGAAATTGAGAGCATCACTTCCAAACATACCTTCGGTATTGGTAACGATTGGAATGAACACGGTGTTGGTGAGGCCGGCATATTTTTATTTTAATATGTTTTTTTTTAATACATGCTTATTTTATCATTTAAAAATTAAAATCTTATCAACGACAATAATACCAATATCGTTTAACTATTATGTTGGTGGTTTAAATAATATGTTTCCTATATTGTATGTATATCAATGCCATTGGTATAATGATTTCGATTATTATCCATACAACTTAGAGAGGAATAAAGATAATAATTTATTGATTGTGTTTAAAAAATAAACATCATTTTAGTAAAGGGGTGCAAGTTGAATAATTGTCAGTTAGAGAAATTTCTTAGAGTCGGGAATTATTTAAGTTTTGATTCTCTTCATCTTTGACCTTTAATTACGATGTCCTTATATTATAAATATATATGAAATACAATATTCATAGACACAAAAAGCATTGCTATCACGGAAGCTAAACTTATATAATAAATGGTGGATAAGAGATCGAGACATTATTTGATATATCGTAATAATTGCATTCAAAACAGGTGTAGTATGTTAATGGGTTAAGTTTAACGTATAGAAGGAATATTATTTCACGTTTATCCGCGTAATAAAAGCCGAAAATTCACTTAAATAAATCTTAAAAAAATGTAGGATAACATAACTTGTGTTAAACAATTTTTTCAATAATTTTGATATTGATTAGTGATCTACATCGGGCCTATTAAGCCCGGCCCGGCCCGAATTTTTAAAAAAGTTTTGCCGACCCGGCCCGAACCCGAAATTTTTTTAAAAAAATTAACCGACCCGGCTCGACCCGAATTTATTTAAATATAGAAATTAATTTTTATAATTACTCAAAATAAAAGACATATGTTATATGTCGTGGGTCGGGCCTAACTTTTCAGATCTCTAATTGATAATATTTTTAAAGCTATTTGTTATTAATAAAATAACGTAATGATTTAAATCAGATATTGGTATCGGCATTGAGTGGCATTAGTTTAAACAAAAATAAAATAAGACATTATCCGATTTCATAATGTATTGTATGTATTGAAAGAAGTGAAAATATTGTTAATCGTTACCAGCCCAACACCTATAGCCATAGTTATAGTAAACGCAAACGTAGCGCGATATCGCTACTATTAGCAACCTTCGTAACGCTAGTTTTCTTTTAATTCAACTTTCTTCTAAACGACGCCATTGTTTCGCAAAATATTTTACTTGATATTTCGTCATAGCGAATATCGAGCTTATAAACTTGCTAATTGTAAATACCCTTTAAAATGAAAGGAAGAAAGAAAGAAAGAAAGAAATACAAATAAAAAGTGTTCTTTAAATCATTATCTTAAGGCAAGAAAAAAAATGTTAAGAAGTAAATATGTTTATACACAACGCATATCATAAACAACTAATGTATTTAATCCTATAATAAGAAGACTATTGGTTTGGTGACACAATGGATGGGTAAAAAATTTTTATTGCATACTTTGTTTTTTATGTTTTTATATAAAATTGACTATTCTAATCTACTCATATAAATAATATTATTATTTTTTTCTTCCGGAATTTTTAAAAAAAAACAGCTGAGATAGTAGGCATACACGAAGAATTGACACGTTGCATCAGCGAATACAAATTAGTCATGGTAGGGCAAGAGGAACACACTCAGCCCCCCGCAACTTTCGCCCCTCGTATTCCTGATAACGACTGCTCCCTCCTCATGTCTTCTACCATTAATACCAAAGCAAGAAATTCCAACGACAATTCGCCTCCTACCCATGGTCTTGAACATGAACCAGCTAATAATTCCAACCACCAAACAAATAACAGTCTTCTGGTAGACCTTGGAAACCCACATTTATTGCCCCCATCACGCCCCGGGGGTGACCCTTTTGAAACCGAGGACAACCCCTCCTGCGCAAATGCCCGATCATCAGCTGCGCCCGGAAATAACATGGGAATTTTGAGTTTTGATGATGTGGAACATGTTAAACCAGTCAAAGATGCTCGACACGATCATTCCTTGCTAGATATCGTAGATATCGATGCTCCAAACGCGTTACCCCTCGCCACGCCATCCTCTCGCATAGGTGATTCTAATCATGACCTCATGACAGTTACGAATAATAGCGCTCACAAACCCAATTTGGATTATGCGGATAAAATTTTTGGCCCGAACTTAGATAACTTGCTCGAGGGAGAAGACCTCGAGGATGTATCCTTGATCAATCGCCCCAGCAACGTTGAATTATTACAAAGAGACGGGATTGAAAATTATGATAACGTAGGAGGAAACTCTAGGGGTAACTATATATATATATATATACGTAATGTAATATTAGTCGTAAGAGTTTATCAAATTTAAGAACCTACCTTATAGAACCCTGGTATTATCTGAAATTTACAGGATATATTTTACACAAAAGTTATTCTCTTTCATTTTGTTTTACAGAGCAAAGATGCTTTGACTTCATTATTTTCTAAAAATATTTTGTGCCTTTTACACTTCTAATTAAAGATCTGCAAAATTAGGCCCGGCCGGTTCGGGTCTGGCCTTGAAATTTTTTTTAAATATATCTAAATTTATCAATTTTATAATTGAATTTTTTATGTAAAATAAAAATATTTGATTTTATTTATAGAAACTAAACGCCATTTTTTAACATAAGCCTTTTATTTTGAGTAATTTTAAAAATTAATTTTCTATATTTGAATAAATTCGGGCCTGGCTTAAAAAATTAGACCCGGTGCAGATCGCTACTTCTTATACCTCTTAATTAGAATAGATTATAAAAAAATTACGAGAAGCTCATTTATGACGTATAATATTTAACGATATCAGAATTTATACCAATAGTAATATATCCTAAATGCAATATCCATCATAACTAGGTTCGAAACCGTGGCATTTAAAAATTTTTTTTTTTGTATTTTATAAAGGTTATGTATCTTTCCAAATTTATAAAATTTGGATATTTTTTCTGATATTTGTATAAAATATTTTTTATTTTTAAAAATTTACACATTTTCGTGTATTTAAATTTGAGGGGTTATTTTTCTATAGGAATAAGGGTATCACGTGATAAGATGGTATATAAAATAAATTTATCACGAATTCCCAGTTTAAAATTTTTTTTTGACTTTTCGAAAAAAAAATCTAGTTATTATAAAATACACACCGATTTTAGTAAATTGAAAATTTTAAAAATCCGGAGTTGCTTAAACCCTACTCACTACGACATATATATATTTATATAGATATAAAGAAAGAAGGGGGAGAAGCGAGAACGATATTCATGTTTTACAATAATAACCCTTAAAACAAAATTCCATGATTTATGGATAAAGGTAAAACTCCATATCCCAAATCGCCAGCTATGGAAGATTTAGGCGATATTTTTAGTATTCGTACTCACCCCATAACCGACCGCGCTGTAAAGAGTGCTCACGGATCTCAACATTTCTCGGATCCGAAAATGGCTCATTTTTTCGCTAATGGGACACTCGGTGGCATGGGTCAAACGAATTATGATACCTTGATTGGCGACGCTAAGTCACGCGAATTGGTTGGTACATTTAATATTATGAACCCTGATTTAGTTAATGTTGCTCTCCATTCCATTCGATAACACTTCCAAGTAGTGCGATTTCGACGCATGCGTAGTATCGCATCAAACGATATCGTTCAAATTAACGGATTCTATCTTGTTTGTTTAACTTATTTTCTCGCTCTTATTTTGTTACACCCTTTACGCCATTTTATTTTTATTTAACTTACCCTTTTGACATTCTGTTTTTTATTATATATAGATCGAGAGAAGATTATATACTTTAGCGTCAATGTGTTTTTTTTCGGCAATGTGTTACTTTTATTTTATACCTTATATCGTTTTTTGAGCGCACCGGAAACGTGTTCCAGCATGTTTAGAGTACCTAAGGAATCGTAGATATTTTTACGGGTAACTTTTTGTGTCATTTATAATTTGTTATTAAAAAAATATATATGGAAAATTTAATACAAATTTATATTAAGTTTAAAAAGTGCTTGGAAAATTTGTCCGAACATTCATAGGGTAAGGTATTCCAAACATGACGGCATGCATTTCCCGGTAATATCGTATATTTAAATTTTTAAAAATGGCACTCAAAAAATGATTAAAAGTTCCCTTTCTTTCTTTCTTTCTTTCTTTCTTTCTTCACAATCGTCGCGTCAAATAGCATATTAAATAAATCGCAAAATTAAATGTACGAAAATTGAGATCCATTTATTAAATTGTTAAAATAATTTTTTGAGAAAAAGGGCAACCATATCGAAATCAGTGGTCAGCAATACACCGGCCATGTCTGAAAAAGTTTTCCAGACAAAATCGGATCAAACCGCCCCGGTCCTGGTAATTAGTGGAGATGTCCTGACCGCATAATAGAAATTAGAAGAATATATGAGCCTTTATTTTGTTAAAATATAATTTTTAATGATGACAAATTATTATTAGGTTTTTACATATTTTTGTAATGTATTAGAATTTAATTGAATCAATTCTGATAATCCGTTAAATATGGTGTTTTTTTTTAAATTTAGGCCACTCCTCAATATTATGAATAGTCGTTTATTTTTGGTGTTTATAATAGTACCTAGATACAGCCCTTTTTTTATAAAAGTGTATCTTGATAACTACAAATATTTGAGGTTATGTCTTACATTTTTTAAAAAAAAATCGTTATGGATTTTAAAAAGCCAACCTGGGCAAACCTTAGTGAAAAATTGGAACAGAACCGGAAACTAAATTCCCACCGGACAGACCGGTTCTTGGAATTTTGCCATTTGCAGACCACTGATAGAAATACATTTATATATTGAAGTAAATAATTTTTTATTTTAATATTTTAAAATTTAAGCTCATATTGCGAAATTTATAAATATCTATCTCACCTTCATTTAAATAAGGACTAGGAACGTTTTTTTTATATTTCTCTCGCATCGCGGCATAAATCGCAAGCGCTCCATCTAGTTTATATAAGACCACGGTTAGGTAGTCCAGACTGATACTCATAGACCTGCCCGTTTACCGGCTCAGTCCAGCTAAGACCAATAGGAACTGACTTTTGATCTTATTCTCTATGTTTTCCTATCATAATTTTTTCTATTTTTTTCATTCTCAAACTCCATTTATTTTAATTAAATGAATATTTTGACATTTTTATTTTTTTAGAAGAAAGAACGTGGCAAACATGAAATCAAAGCTCTTTCCATGTCTTCTAGTAAAAATACATGCAATTTATTTTTTATATTTCGCCCATTAAATTGGATCGGTTAACTGTGTTGTTTTTATTTCTTCCACAATTCCGAAATTTAGTATGGTATTTAGATTATATTTAAGTGAAGAAAAAGAAATTAAAGAGAAAAGAAAAAATGAAACTGATAAGTTAGCAAACCAAGGATCTAAAAATGCTTAGATTTAAAAATCTGGAAATGATCAAAAGTGTTAGATTATTTTTTACTGACTGACTTATTTATTTTTTAAATCATGCGATGTTGAATTTTTAAAATTCTTTTTAAGAATTAGGTAAAGTATTTTTATATAATAAATAAAAATTCCTTTGGCAAGTTTTAAAGAATGCTTTCTGATTCATGCCAGTAAGAAGTGCCGTCCTTAGAATAGTAAACAACGAATCCCTCATTCGATCCCAATTAATCATTTCAATAGTCATAAATGTAATCTCTTTAAACACTTTATATTTATATAAACTCTCACCCCATGAATGCAGCTCCTGTCTCTTTCCAATATCCATACAACCTAGAAAATGGTTTCGAAAATTTATTAACGACCTCTTCTTCCTCCGCATTCAAGGATAGAAAGGAATATAATACGATGTTTTCTCATTCCGAAATTGGGGGGAGAAGCGGAGGTGGCGGCGCCATTAAATCTAGTAAAAGCAGCAGCAACACGACGACCACCGCCAATCATCTTAACAACGATTTCGGTAACTTCGCCGAGCTCACTAAAATAGCCCTCGGTTATGGGTTAAACTCTGGCCGCCCATTTCCTAGTCGGACGCTTCCCCCAACGCTGAACGAAGAGACCGCTCCCGTAAATGGGGGCGATGCGATTGGCGCCAATGATATTATTCCTAAGAAGGAAGTCATCAAGTCCACCATATCGAATACCGCTTTGAAACACGAAGAGAGTAAAGATGGGTTCGACACGAGAATTGAAATTGGCGGGGAAAACGCGCGCTATATCAGAGAGGATGGGACAAAATGGGCGGAAACGGAAGCGGAAATGTTAGAAAAAAGGATGAAATATTTCGAAAATTATCTAGCTAAACTGGAAAACTTGGAGCCCGATCGTAAGTATTTTTTTTTTATTTTAATAAGAAAGATAGAAAGTAGAATACCATGAAGAAAAAAAAGAATAAAAAATGAATTAATATTTTTTTTTTACCGACATAATATATAAATATTATTTCCTATAAATAAAGTCGATTTTAATCCCGTAACTTTGTACGATAAAGACCAGATCAAAATACTTCTATCCAAAGCTCTCGATTCTTCCATTCCTCCTATTAGTGTTAGCCAGAAACTGCCACCGAAAATCGGTATCTACACACTCTCCCTGATTAGCGTCAACAAATACCCCATTTCTCAAATACTCTTTAAGATCGACCTATCCAGCAGTTCGGAATATCATACGACTTCCAAACATGTAAACTATTTTGTTTTTGTTTTATAGTAGACAAGAGCACATCTTGTTATTTTCTTGACAGCTCTCAACCACTTTAACCTGATGTTTGTCATATTTAACATGACACTTGTCCATTACTTTGACAGGTATAAAACCGTTTACTCCATGTTGACATACACGGGTTTAAAAAAGTTTTTTTAGACTCAATTCATATCGGTTTTGACCGGATCCCATTTTTACTTCATCCTATATTAATCGTAATTTTTTTTACGCAGCGCGTTTTGTCCAAATTGGTACCTGAGGAGTTTTCTCTTCCCGCCTTCAATCCCTTGTTTCCACCGCCATCTTTCACAGCCGTTCTATACGTTAGCCAAATCGATGAAAATTTATCGAACGTATTGCAAGCACATAATTTTTATTATATTATTCCTCTTCCATTTATTTTATTTCTTTATTTTATAATTTATTTTTGTATTCAATTTGTCTCGTTATAATTCTATTTTTTTTCTTCATTATTTAATCTTTAAATTAAGATCTATATAATACGACTCATGTAAATGTGTGGGATAGTGTTTTTAAACAGCTGGATTTTTTAAAGAGGGGTAACCCTATATTTTGGTCAAAATTATTACGTAAGTTTGCATATTTTGCTCATATATGGTTGGAATGTTTGGACATCTATTAACGAATTCTCAAGACTCGCGTAACATTTTTTGGCTAAAATATTGCCTTAGCCGTTTTTAAAAATCGAGCCGTCATTTAAAAAAAAAAGGAGGGGCAGGTCTCAATCAAAATTTTGACTCTCGACAAGGTTATCTAGTTTTTCCTAAATTTTTAGAAGAGGGTTTGGAAGCGCATTCTTGAGCTCTCAATTTATTCTATTTCTTTTTTTTTAAAAAAATAGCAAAATGATGTCCCAAAAAATTCTAAGCTGAAAATGGATATGGAAATTTCTTACAAAATCAAGGATGAAAAGTCCAAGGCTTCCATCATTCTAGCAAACACTCTATAAAGGATACGCGAAGAAGTGTTGGGGAGAAGGAGGAAAAATTTTTTTGTTTTGTTTTATTCCAAATATGACGTTAGCATAGGTTTAAAATATTTTAATGATATTTCATGTATTTTCGCTAATTGTACCTTAATACAACCTGCAATATGTTATTTTACAAACTTATTTTAAAATAAAAATGCTTTCATGTTCCTCAAAACAAATGTTTCTATAGCCAATTTCTCTGTATTATTTTTGTTCTAATTTATTTTTTTTATTGAACAAATTATTTAATAGTATTTATTCTATTACATAAAACATATTTATAATAATTCTACGTCTAAAATTGTTTCGATTGTTTTATAAGCGAATTATTTTGACGTTATACTACTTATTTACTAATATCTTTGTACCAATGTAAATTTTAAATTGAAAAAATAAAGAAAAAAATTATATATTTATTTATGGAAGTGTTTATCTGAATTGACATGATGCCGACACCTTTTAAACAAGTAAATTGATTATTTATAAGAACCAAAGTCGAATCATAAAAATTTTGTCACACGAACTACCGCTAAAAATTCTGTGAAGGTTGGACCTTTTTAATATTATTAACAATCAATTTTTGATTGATAAGTGTTAGTTACTATTTATACATATTTTTTTATATATCGCTATCTGACGGTGCCAGCTACTCACGTTTTACTATATAGAAGAGTTCTCAACCAAAGAATTTGTTACTTCTCCCTATATAAATATAATTTGATAGAGGAAGAATCTTGAAAAATTTTAATTGTATGTCAAGGGTTAGGAAATAATCCAAAATATTTGTATTTATCTAAATATATATATACCTTTTTTTATTTGTATCTTAGTATTTTATTTGAATATTCTAGAAAGTATCAAGTATTTGTATCATACTAAAAAAAATTACGATTTTTTGAACGAAATATAAATGAATTTTTCTTTATAATTATAATTTGAAAAATCCAAATTTATATATTAAATTTGTGAACCGAGTTGGCGAAAATTTTTTTTTAATATCTTCCTAATTAAATCCTATTTATTTTTAGAATGAGTATTGCCGAAGATGATATATATTGTTAGCTTGATAAAATAATAGCAAGTTTTTAGTAATATCAAAAATATACTCGTATTAAAAATTTAATCCAAATCTGTTTTTTTTTTAAAATTCCTTTTAAATATTCACTATATATATCTAAAAAATTATCCATCTTCGTTTGATACATCTTCGCTTCTTTACCGGGCGTATTTAATAATGACTTTTCCCCACTTTTTTCTTCTTTCTTTATACATGCACGACCACACTTTTATCTCTAATTTTTGAGTGTAATGTTCCAATTTTTCCTCCTAGTTTCCTTGTTCGAATATTTGTTCTAGCAATCTTTGTAGGTTTAATTTTTTTAAAATAGTTTTTCTGGCGGACTTTGTTCATTTCTGCGCAAAGCATATCGGTAATTTTATAGGAACCCTAAGCTTGTTTCTAATTCTTCATTGTTACTTTTATTCATGTTATTTTTAAAAGTTTTTACTAAACGTTCTGCCATACCGTTGTGCTGTGTATATAGTGTTGTTAAAAGGGCTCGATTTTTAAAAAAACGGCTATCCCAATATTTAGCTAAAAAAATATTATGCAAGCTTGTAGATTTTTCTCATAGATAACACAAAGGTTTGGACATCTATTTACGAAATCTCTAAGCCCGCGAAATTTTTTTGGCTAACATATAGGATTCGCCGTTTTTAATGCGAACCCGTTAACAACAGTATGTGGGTGATATGTTCTTCCATATGAATTAATTTTTAATCTGATTTTTTTCACAAAAAATTATTAAATTCTTAACTGCTGAATTGTGGCATGTTCTCAAAAACTTTTATCTTGGGAATCCCAAAGATACTTATCAATATTTTTAGCAATTTTTTCGGCTACTCTAGAATTTAAAGCCCATTTTTGTATTATAGCGCTGTAAAATTGTCGGTTTATTTTTTTTCTTGGATGAAATTAACTCATTCATAGATGGCGATCTGTTTGTAATGTGAAGCCTTTTTATGTGTGAAATATTCTATGCGAATCAATCTACATAACTAAAGCGGTGTCCAAATTTTAACCTTCCTAGCTCTTACATTTTTTGAAGTATCAAGGCTTATCAATACTAATTATAAGATTTACTAAAAATTATAAAATTGATTCCGATGTCAAATAAAAGGTGTAAAATACAATTTATTTAACCCCGTTACAAACTTTAAAATCCTTGTGAAAAAATAATGGGTTGCACCGATTGTCTAAAATTTTAAACAAATTGGTATGCCAACTTTCGTGCATAGATTAGAATCAGGACTGAAGCGCTCTTAAAAAATTGATTAGATCAAAGTTTCCCCAAAAATTTCTTAATCATGTTCAGAATATAGAAGTTAAAATAATATATATATCAGGTACAATATTTTCGAAATCATCTTTATTTTTATGATAATTTTTTAAATCTTAAATTACAAATAACTACAATTAAAAAATATATCATATTCGAATTTTAACAATAATATCTCCCTAAATATCCATCGTGGTTTCCATCATATAAGTCTGACAATATGTACCATAATATTAAATAGTTCTCGTTCAACACCAACCTAATAATTAACTAAATCTAATATTGTCAGAGATTTTATTAGTTACTTCTTGGGATCTAACAGATTTTTAAAGGAAACGTATATGACGGCAAAATGTTGAATTCGGATCACATTTACTTTTATATAAATATTAGAAAAGGAAGAAAGAGAAAAAAAAATTCTAAGTGCTGGAGGAAAATAAAAAACTTTGTGTTTTGTAGATTATTTAAAATAATTGCTAAAGTAAATATTTTATAAAAAATTGTAGGCAGGAAAAAAAAAGTAATAAGAAAATAAGGTATTTTAAAAGAATTACATCCATATAATAGGGTGAATTAAAAATAAAAAAATTCTTTATATAATATTATAATAACTAGATGGCGTTAAATAATTTAATACATATTGTGATTTATATATATTATCTAAAATCTTGATTAGTTAGGTTCATTAAAATATTTATATTGATTTATTATGTTACTTTCAGCTATGTTTGGGAAAAGTATAATTATAGGTTGTATCCTAGAACCTATTCTATATAATAGATAATATCTACTATAAGTCTAAAATAAAATTTAACATATTATATCAATACAAGTTGAATATTTTCTTATAATTCCAATATATGCAAAATTTTACCTATCGGATATTTTATAATTTTTATTCCTAAATTATTAAATGATTAATATATATTTTTAATGAAATCACATGTACATTATATGGAGAAGATATATAGTTATAAATATTATAAAATTTATATAACGCGATTAAAATTATATAAAATATATTCTAATCATCATGTGAGATGAGGCTGCCAATGAAGCTGATGTAATTAGCCCTGTGAATTGCTATTGCGAGTCTTTGTCTTAAGAAGAAGCCTTCACGAGGTTCATCTGTTAGTTTGCGGATTAGCGATCCAAGTTCCTTGAAGAAAGAAAGAGCACGATTCCCAAAGGTAGTCAACTTAGTGGAAATGATGGGAATGGATAAGTGATCTTGGGATATCTCTGAATATTTTGCAATTTTTAGAAGCTCCTTGTTCTCCAGAATGTTAAGGGATTGATTGGAAGGAGCCAATGGATCTATACAAGAGTAATCCCAGACCAAGAATTGACCTCGCTTCCAGGGAATTTGAGAGATCCTGTCAGGGCGTTTCCCATCAGATCTGAAAAGACCAGAGGGTTAGAGAACAAAAGGAATTTGAGCGGATCTCAGAGCTCTAAGAATTATAGAATTGCAAATGTTATGTCTAACGATGCGGCCTTTACATGAACGACAATGTAGACTATGCCTTCCATTACTCAAAACAGCAGAACTGCAGCCGGCACAGATGTGGGGTTGGGTTACTAAGCAATTTAAACGTATGCCTATAGCATGAGTTAGCTCATTTCGGGTCAATTGTAATTGTAAGTTCGCGGATGGAATGGCTTCGAGAAACTCATTTCCAGAACCATTAAGCAGAAAGGAGAATAAGGGACGGTCCAATGATTGCATACTGGAAAGGAGAGATTCGACGCAGCTTGCAATAATGGGCTTATCCCAGTCCTTCTGCTTGTTCGTTTCTGGAATTGGGTGGTCGGCAATGAATCGAGATTTCCATTCAATGATGGCACTATCAAAGGAAGAGTCAGAATTTAAGGAATTAGGATTGACTAAATTTTTGGTTAAAAGACAGCTCGATATAAAGGCAGTTAAGGCAAGATCGGAAGGGGATCTGATGCCTAGTCCTCCCATCTTGGTAGGAAGGGTGGCTTGTGTCCACGCTAATTCATGGAATTTTAGATTAAGGATACTTTCAATTAGGACTTTAATCCCATTTTCATAAATGCGTAAGGAAGTGGGAAATTTAAAAATAGGCGTAAAGAATTTTTGGGATATTGAAGAAATTTTTCAGGAGAAAAAAGGCTTTATGAGAGGGGAGAAAGGAAAATAGGTTAGCCAACTCATTAAGGGTTTCGAGTGTAGATTGTAGGAAGGATGATATGGCTGTGTGTCCACCAACGGGAGCACCTAAGTGAGATAATTCCTCCTGAGTAATCTGTTTGAAATTATAAAAATTGTTTTCTGATGAATTAATTGTAATGAATTCTGATTTTTCATGGTTGATTGATAGACCAATGGATAGCCCTGCATCCTTGATTATCATTACAGCTTTATTGATTTCGTCGTTTGGACCACAAAGGATTCCATCATCGATGTACCATGCATGCAATGATAATGAACATGCCTCGTTAATAGATTTAACAATTTCATTGATCCCTAAACAGAAAAATAAAGAACCTAGAGGATCTCCCTGTTGTATGCCCTCAATCGAAGGAATTTATAGGTATCAAATTGGAGAGTGGAAGGCTGTTGATAGCATGAATAAAAGAATTTAGTGTAACCAGGAAAGAGAATACTCGATGAGCTCAGAAAGGAATTCCTAGAAAGAGTGTTATAAACATTGTTGAAGTCGATTTTGACTAAAGATTCGTTGGTTGGTTGGGTTTCTAAGTGTATTCTCGTTAGATGAACAACAGCTTCACAGCCGCCAGGTATACCAACACCAAGTTGGAAAGGACTTAGTATATTTGAAGCTTTATGCTTTATTCGAGAGGAAATCATTTTAGCTACTAAACGACGAAAGGAGCCAATTGCAATCGGTCTTAAATCATTATTGGGTTTTTGAAGGGCTATTAGCCTGGCACCGAAAAGAATAGGGGAAACAAAGGTT